AGAGGTGGGAGACGTGAGCTCACTCTTTCTAGGATGGCTCCGACAGTTCATCTCTTGTTTTAGGAGGGAGAGTCGAGTAAAGATTGTTAGAGTTTAAATTCTTCATCTCTGCACTAGTTAGCCAAAAAAGAGCCTGGACATAACACCTCGCCAGCTTAGGCCTTTTATAAAAGTCAAGAAGGTAGCCAATTTTCCTAAAGCTGAGCTTTGAAAGTTACTTAGTTCCTATGTTAGAATTCCCATTCTGGCAACAACTCTGGGGAAAAATTAAGCTGCAGATTTACTGAGCTAATAGCTGCCTGGATCATGAGTCCAGGTCATATTTCAAAGCACACAGCACTTTTGTGTCTGAGGGGTAGGCTGCTGGGCTGCCTGTGACTGAGAGACACAGTGAGGCCCATAACCAGGGAAGAAATGATTTCATTCGGAGAGAAGGCGGGCTCTGCCCAGAGCCTGTGAGGGGAGCTGGTGGTTAGGGTGGGGCCCAGCAGGCGGCCCCTTGGCTTCTGTTCCTGGCCCACCTGCTGAATAACTGCAAGGCCACCCCTGAGCAGTCATGTGTCTGCGCACCCCGACCTGGCCCCTGACACTCTCTCCGTGGGTAAGCCTGGGAGGTGCAGGGGTGGCTCTTTCTTCCTGGGGGACCTGGAGTGAGCTGAAGGGGAGCCTCCACCACCTCCTGCTCTGCAGGCCTCCTGCAGGGCCTGGGCTGGGGCTGAACTCCTACTGGCTGGCATTCTCCGAGCCGAGAGGCACAGCCGGAGGTGACGTAGGGCAGTGTTAGCCATCTCCCTCACAGCCTCTAATGGGGAATTCAAGACCGCTGCAGCCTCCAGTGCGGGGCACGACACGGGCAGAGATGATCACTTGTTTCATGACCCACATGAGCTAGAGATGCAAAGCCTTTTTGTTTCTTGTTTCCCCTGCCCCTAATTTACTTGTTGCCTGGAGACAACGTGGCGTAGAGTTTATGCAAGTGGGCCCCAGAGTCCGATGGAAACCCAGTTCTGCCCTGCTCTTTGGGATCCTGGGTGAATTATTTAGTTTCTCCGTGCCTCACTTTCCTCATCTATAAAATGGGGGTGATAGTGTGTACTTTTTGGTTCATGTAAAAAGTAACTGGGGGCGAAAGGGAAAGTGTCTACACAATGACTGACATGAATAAGTGCTCAGAAAGCCCTATTCATGGTTATATGTCAATGAGAATGTTAAATTAAGTAGAGATGTGGCACTTTTTTTTTTTTACCATATATAAGGTATTTGGATAAACCTGAGTATTGTTTCCCCATGGCAGATCCTTCACATGCATCCTTATTTCCCATCCTGCCTTTGTTGGCATTGGCATTTCCCCCACCTTCATGTACACTTATTTGTGGCTTACACCCCAGTCTTAGGAATAAATATCTAAATTTTTCATTGACTTAACTCTCCCTCTATCAGAGGAGTTCTGACAAGTACAAGCTCTAAAAAGAATACCTGATGATAGATGGTAGGCAAAAAACCTGCTAGGGAAAGTGGGCAGGCTTACTAGACAGGAATTAGGATGGAGCCAGAAGGGCCATGAACCAGGCCATCAGAGTGGCCTCCTCCCGTGATTGAGAGGCAGGAGGGCAGCGTGGTTACTGAAATGACTGGGAGCTAGCTGATAGAGACCATCTCAAGAGATATATCCAGATGTTGAGATAACATAAGTTGGTGGCCATCAGACATCAGCCCGAAGGCATAGCTGTTGGGGGATTGATGGAGAAGACACAGGAGGAAGATCTATTCCATGGTTTTGATGGGCCCACATGCTCAGTTGTTCTTTAAAAAGATGCTGTCACATTTGTCATCGGGGGAGAGACAATCATTGAAGTGAATGAGGTTCCCCCAACTCAAACTTTTTATCTGTAAACGAGAACAACATCCCCAGACTTATAAAAGCTGTCGGAATTCTCTGGGGTCTCCTGCTCCTAACACAATGAAACCAGTTTCAGGAAGCCTCTGGCTTCTCAGTTCGGGGAGTTTCCCTGCGGGCTGAGCCGGCTGCGCGCGAGGCACTGGCTCTGTTTCTGGCTTGCAGACGATGACCACTGGATCATCGACACGGACTACGACACCTACGCCGTGCAGTACTCCTGCCGCCTCCTGAACTTCGACGGCACCTGTGCTGACAGCTACTCCTTCGTGTTTGCCCGCAACCCCTACGGCCTGCCTCCGGAAGTGCAGAAGGTCGTGAGGCGGAGGCAGGAGGAGCTGTGCCTGGGCAGGCAGTACAGGCTGATTATGCACAATGGTGAGTGGGCTGGTGGGCAGGAGCCCGGGCAGCAGCCAGCTTTCCCTGAGGGGTCGGTGGGCAGGGAGTTTCTGCCCATCTGCTGGTGGGATGTGTTTCATCTGCCTGCAGGAGAAAACAGGGAGCCTTAGGAGCCCCTGGGAGCCCAAGTCTTGGCTCTTCTCGATCAGATGTTTCAGTGGTCTCATCATGGGGCTGATGCGGAAGGAGGGGACAAACGCCTTTTTTCAAAAACATGGCACTTTCACTTAAGTAAAACTGCAGGGGACTCTTCCTTTTTTTCTGCCAATTTAGCCCAGTTGGTAAGTCACAGGATTTTGCCCCTGGATACTCTGCCCAAAACCCATTTTGACTGAATTAATATTATTTGGGGATTCAGTGGCCCCAGTGAAGAGTTGGGCTGCAAATGTGGCCATTGGTGTAAAAACTTAGACATCATCACAGCAAGTTCAAAATGATTTCAACAAATGCTCTTTCTCTACCATGAAACCAAATTGACCAGCTGATCTTCCTCACTTATATTTTTGGATATTTCCTGGAATGACAATTGGGTCTTTATATAGAGTCTATCCTCATCTGATATTGATCTGAAAACCAGGAACATTCTAGAAGAAAGAGTGCTGTCTACTTGAATTGATACTCGCTCCCCTGGAAAACTATGGCAATGTTAAAATGTAGGAAAAAGAGAACAAAACTGAACTTTTCGGTTGGTCTTCTAACTAGCTGAGCAAAACTACACCAAAACAATATGAAACCAGACCAAAAACATAAATCAGTAAGATTTTGATATTTCACCCTGGGGTGGTCTAGGCAAGGATTTCAGCATGGGCAGACTCCAGGCCAAACCCTTTGCCTATATCTCATCTATCTGATGAGAAAATAGAGGCTAAGAAAGATTACAAAAGTTGCCCAAGATTGGTATGGTAAATAGCTGAGTTGGATGCAAACCAAAATGTTGTGTTTTTGTTTTGTTTTAGCAATGAAGCCCCTTGTGGCACCACCTGGTGATACATGGCACAGGACATGGGGAACTTTCTATAAAATTACTGGTGGGGTGGCTGCGATCAGGCACTTTCTGAAAAGGAAGATGTACCCCCCCCTCAACCCTTTGAAATGTAGTGAGGCAAATTTAAGACAAATTAAAAGAACAGTATTTCATACAGCAGACCCCATTGCCCCAGACAAATTCAAAGGGTTGCAGAAAAATTCTTGAAGCTGATTATGAATTACAGCCCCATCCTGCTGTAACCTTACAAGAATGGGTCCAGAATTTGTAATCTACCTTATGCACTGGGTCCATCTTTCTGTCGCTGATGACTTTGTTTTCTATATTTCAGGTTACTGTGATGGCAAATCAGAAAGAAACCTTTTGTAGCAACATCAAGGAGGTCAAGTTTCGTTTGAAAACTTCCCACTTTCGCTCAGCCTTCAACTCTATTTATCGTAGTTTAGTCTGGCCCTCTCTCCTCCCCTCTTCCTCAGGAAACATAAAACCTTCAGGACACATAAAAATACATGTGGGAACAAGTGAATCCATTTGCAGTCAGGTGTATGTTTTTTTCTGGGGTTTTCTAGGGAATCCTTTGAGGCTTAGGATTCCAGACTTTGAATTATTAAAACGTAGTCTCCTGTTTCCTATGATGTGGGTGTTCATTTGTGTCCACGTGTTGTCGAAGCGAGAAGTCCTGCAGATGGTTGGGTAGGATGCGCTTCTATACCCCTGGAGGTGTTCTTGCCTCCCTGGTTCTTTATGATCTTGGCCTATTCTGGTGCCTGATCTCCATTAGTGACAGTGGCTTCTCCCAACTTCCTGCAAAGGGAGTTCTCCATTAACCCAGGAAGGCCCTAGCTGCCAGCCTGGCCAAGGCACCGAGGCTAAACCAGCAGGTGAGTGAGTGTGGGCCAGGCCAGGCCCATGAGCCCAAAGCCCCAGGCAGCCCAGGGCCAGGGAAGGGGCAGCATGGCCGGCTCACCTGGGTGTGTGTGAGAGGCATGGGTCTGGGTCAGCTCTGGCAAACATCCCAGCCCCCCATGTTTCTAGCACTTTATTCACTTCTTATTTCAGATGCGGCCAAAATGTTGGAGAGGAGGCCTTGGGCTTCCCTGAGGGAATTAGAACATGCGGCCCTCAGAAGCCAGGTCTGGGGGAAGCTCCCAGTGCTCCCTACCTGGACTTGGAGCAGCAGGAAAGGGCATGGTGGGTGGTGGTGAGCACCAGGACCCCACACCATCAGCAGTACTTGTGAACATCACTGTTCAATTGCTGCAAAGCCGTTTGCCCCAGTTTCCCAGGAGCTCCCAGGAGGCTTTGGTGCCAGAGTCTTTAAGTCAAAGTCCAGTTCTGACATAGTCGCTGTGTGATTTGAGCTGGTTACATGGCTTTTCTGAGCCTCACTTTTCTCTTGTGAAATACGGGGAAACAGTATCTGCCTGATGGGATGCAGTGAGGATTCAATTAGAGCACATGGGAACTGTGCAAACGCTGGCCAGGCCCGGCTACCAGCTATGAAATGTGTCAGGTGGGGAAGGACACCTCTTTCCCCTGTGTGCAGAGATCTCTGCCTGGGTGCTGGTCTATCAAGGGCCCAGGTGAGGCTCCTGGGTGCCCCACCCCAGTGTGCTTGTCCTCCCACCAAGGAAGGAGGAAACACATAGCAGCAGATTGTCAAAGCCAGGCCCTTCAGCCTCAGTTTCACAACCCAGAGACCCATAAGATAGCCACACATCACAACAAAATAGTTTTAATTCATCAAGTCTATTAGCTAAAGATGAGCAGAAAATCCCTGTCCTCTTGTCCTCGAGCACCATAAGTCCTGCTTCAGAAGAAGCTATTCAAGAAACTCCACAAGCAATGGAACTACTGCTGCTGATGTACTTGACGACAAAGCCGTGTTGAGCACCTGCTATGTACCAGGCCCCAAGCTACTGTGCATTCCACGCATGGGCCCAACTTCCATGTGATGGCATGTCCCATGGTTCTGTTTGGCTCTGGTTTCTTCTTTCTCTTCTCTCCCAGGAATAATTCCTAAAAGCTTAGGCCTGTAAACACGATCTGATGACTCGCCACATTGCATCTTCAGGCCCACACTCCACAACCTGGCATCCAATGACCTACTCTCCATTTGGATCTCACTGGATTTCACACTTACACAAGCCTCAAATAAAATCCTTGGCTCTCCCACCCCCAGGCTTCCCCCCTTGTTGTTGGTTGGCCCACTATCCAACCAGTGTCAGTCTACAAATCTAGAAGTCACCCTTGCATCCTCTTTTTCCCTCACGTTGTACATCCCATCCATCAATAAATAATGCTTGCTCCATCTTCCCAAAGTATGTCCTACGATCATTCTCCCCCCCTCATCTCAAATATTGGAGTTATCCTATATCATCTGATTTCATGACACCAAATCTCCTAAAGGGGTCCATAGCATTTCTTATAAATAAGCAAAAAAGTCACCTTTGGTTGTCCTGGGAAATTCCTCAAGGATTATCGACATTAATGAATGATCCTGAGGCCTTGCGAGTCCAGGGGAGGGACCTAGAGTGGCTGTGGCCCTTCAGAGAAATCTTAGTCTGGGACCAGTTGTAAGATTCACTTCAGAAACCAGCCAGGTGTGGCTTTATATGCAGGAGATGTGATTGTTGAACAGGTATAAATAAAAATTTATTACATTCAATCATACGACAAACACACTGAAAAAGTTCGTATTTCAAGAAACCCATAACAAATCCTTTTATAAAGGATACAATGCTTTTGCTGAAGGATCACCCCTTAATTTACTGGTGCCCTGCACGTATTTGCATAGGTTACATCTTCCTAAAGCAGGGCACCCTGGTGTGAGGGTCCTGGAGATGCACCCCCTTCGAAGACACACCAGTGGCTCACCAGAGGGACCCACTCTGCCGCTAGAGAGAAATTAATTATGTGGAAATGATGGACAGGTCATTTCTCCTGAGAGACGTGTCTGTAAACATGGCTCCCTTGTCTGGGAAGAAGATGCCCCGGAAAATTTTCCTCCATTCGTTCCTGAACAGGGACATGTTGTAGAGGATGGGGTTCAGGGCCGCGTTGGCGAACGTGAAGGCCACCACCCAGAAGAAGAGTGACGGCCAGATGACCAGGTCCTGCTTGAAGTTCTGGATCAGGATGAGCAGGATGGTGATGATGATGGGGCTCCACATGATGAAGAAGGAGATCATGAGCAGGAAGAGGGTGCGGAAGAGCCGGAAGTCCTGCTGCGACACGCGGATCTGGTGGCTCTCCGAGTACGCCAGGCTCACCGTCAGCCTCCGGCGCGACGCCTTGGTGATCTGCGGGGACACAAGCAGCGGAGCCACAGTCACTGCAGGTGACAGCAGGGAGATTTGGGTCACGAGGAGCACAGGGCGCCAGAGTTGGAATCTGCTGCCCCCGCTGCACTGGGACTATTTTGTGTGGAGAGCGCACCGTTAAGAGAGGTTGGTTCACCCTCGGGTGAGGCTGGTCCACCCTTAGGAGAGGTTGGTCCACCCGTAGGTGAGGTTGGTCCACCCTTAGGTGAGGTTGGTCCACCCTTAGGTGCATTGAAGAAATGGGGCGCCTGGGTGGCCCCCTGAGAAAAAAGGCAGGAAATCATCCACTTATAGTGGACGAGGGGAAGAGAAAGGCCTGCATTGGATGGGGTAGAAAAGGGAGGTGAGAACAGAAGCACAGGGCTTTGGGCTGAGTGTTTCCCTCTCCCAGATGTATTTGTTAAAACCTAACCTCCAAGGCGATCCTATTAGGAGATGGGGCCTTTGCAAGGTGATTAGGTCATAGGGAGGACGCCCTGCTGAGTAGGATTAGTGCCCTTAAGGAAGAGATGAAGGGCCCTAGCCGGTTTGGCTCCGTGGATAGAGCATCTGCCTGCGGACTGATGGGTCCCAGGTTCGATTCTGGTCAAGGGCACATGCCTGAGTTGTGGGCTCGATGCCCAGTAGGGGGCATGCAGGAGGCAGCTGATCAAAGAGTCTCATCATTGATGTTTCTATCTCCCCCTTCCTCTCTGAAATCAATAAAAAAAGAAAAGAATCGATTCTCCTCTTCTGATAAACTGAGAGCACTCCTTAGAAATATTCTACTAAAAAAAAGAGAGAGGGATGAAGGGATTAATCTTTATTCATTGGCAGTAATAGAATAGTCATGGGGATGTAGTCAATACAGTGATATTGTAATAACCATGGAGGTGCCAGGTGGGTGGAAGATTATCTGAGGGATCATTAGGTAAGTCATATAAATATCTAACCACTATGCTGCACACCCGAAAAACTAATTAATACTCAATATAAACTGTAATTTAAAATATTTTGAATTAAAACATTAGAAAAGAGGCCTGAGAGCGCTCCCTGGACACTGCTGCTGTGGGAAGACATGGTGCGAGGTGAGCAGTCTGCAGCCTGAGGGAGGCTCACATCAGGACCCCATGCTGGCGCCCTGATTTCCCACTTCCAGGCTCTGGAGCGTGAGAAATCAATTCCTATTGTTTATAAGCCACGCAGTCTGCGGTATTTTGTGATGACAGTCCGAAGAGACTGAGACACACAACTTCCCTACTGTCTCTTTTTTTGAAAGAGCTAAGTATTGATTGCACAAAAGCAACATGTGCTGAAGATACAAACTTAAACAGGACGATGCCGAAGGAGTCTGGGGTGGGGCTGAGCTTCGGCGCTTCTCATGAGCTCCTGTGCAGCTGCGGCTGCTGGTGCTGGTCCGAGGGCCACACTTTGAGTAGTGAAGTGTGTCTCCCAGGCCCGGGGTGGTGGGCAGGCTCGGGGTGGGGGGCGGCGGGGGCGGAGGAGTCTGGCCTCCCTGGTGGCTGGGAAGAGTCCAGTGCTCAGGTGCAGTCCGCCCTGGAGATACATACAGCGTCCTGCCTTGATGCCCAATTCCAGTTGTCCTTTAAGCACAGCCAGAGGGCAGAAGGCCCGCTGTCCCCTATCACTTGCTCAGCTTTAATGGTACCCAGAGTTTTGGGGGTGAGAGGGACAAAGGTTTGTGATGGCGAACAGGGGACAAACTGGTGCCTAGCTAGCACAGGATGAGATGGGGCACTGTACATGTTAGCTTGACATGCTTGGTTCCAGCCTGTGACCTCTGTCCCCAAGGAAGAGATCAAATTTAGAATGTGTTGGTCACATGCATGGTCCTTGCTAACTCCCATTTGCTTAGTCTGGCCCCGTGTCCTGCTGTAGCCACCCAGTGGGTGCTTACATGACTGGAGACATTAATGGCCACAAATCTCATTAGCAGGCCTGCCTAGGCCCATTCCCCTAAGATTCTGGAATCTCAAGAGGGGAAGCAATTTGAAAGCAATTACCGTAATTCACAGTTTGGGCAAGTTTAGCTAAAAGGTAACAATGGCTTAAAATAGCCTCCTTAGAATGCCTGTTACTAGCTCATTAGAGAGTAGCTGTGTGTTTTATGATTAAATGCAATTGCTTGTGGCTTCTGTGCAGTAGCTTAGGTCCACCTCTTGGTGACGGACACCAGGGCAGCAGATGCTGAGCGAACAGAGCCCTCTCTTCCCCACTCACATCCCAACCTCAAGAACAGTGGGAATCAGGCTCGCTGGGCCTCGGGGAGCGCTCCCTGTGTGCCAGGCACTGTTCTGTGCATTTATAGTTATAAATTGTCGCGTTTCCTCTTTACAGCTGCTGTGTAGATTGGGACTATCATTATTTCAGCTGCAGAGATGAGGATAATGAACCCCAGATAATTCGAGTAACTTGTTGAGGGTTACTCCACTGGTGACACCTGGTCAAAGCCCCCATCTGTGCAAACCCAGCTTAGTTGAGATAAAGACGAGCCACATCATAAAAGGCTCCAAAGGGGCTGCCATCCTCTTCAGCCCTCCCCACCTCTGCCTGTTCCGCAGGGTGGGGCTGCTCAGGAGACATAACCCACCATCTCAGGCTCGCATGCCTCAGGTCACATTGGCACACCCAGGTCTGGAAGCTGCTGTGTAGAATCAAGTTAGAATGTGTGTGCAGGTGAAAGCTGCTTAAGCTGAGGCTACCTGGGCCAACAGACCGAGGAGAGTAACCGCTGGGCAGGTTGGCAGCGGGGAGGGCTGTAGGGGAAATGCCACCACCTCTGAGAAGGGGTGTCATTCTAGTCCAGCCATGGGCAAACTACGGCCCGTGGGCTGGATCCGGCCCATTTGAAATGAATAAAACTAAAAAAAAAAAAAAGACCGTACCCTTTTATGTAATGATGTTTACTTTGAATTTATATTAGTTCACACAAACACTCCATCCATGCTTTTGTTCCGGCGCTCTGGTTCAGTTTAAGAACCCTCTGTGGCCCTCGAGTCAAAAAGTTTGCCCACCCCTGCTCTAGTCCTATGTGCAACCTGGTGGACACAAAAGGAATGATTCAAAAGCAGCCTCATCGCTCGTGCTGCCCACATTGCCTGCCAAGAAGGATGAAGTCCCTGGTACTGTGTCTTAGACATTTTCTGGAATGAATGATGGTGATCCAGTTCATCTTGATTGAGCACTTATGTGCCAGGCCCTGTACATATCACTTGGTTTATCTCTTTAAATTCTCCCAGCAGGTCTGTGACATATGTACTTTGAGGATCCCCATTTTACAGATGAGGAAACTAAGGCTAAAAGAGATTAAACAACTTGCCCAACAGCACCCAGCACTTGCAGAGCTAGGCTTCAAACCCAGCCCATGCTCTTAAACAGGTCCCTTCCCGCTCTCTGCTGTCTCCATCAGCGGAAAGCCTCTGCCCAGCCTGTAACTCCAAGCTCCAAGGCCAGGAGCTCTGGGAGGGAAGGCTTCCCAGCACATCTCCTGCTTGGCACCAGCGGTGCTTTGTTTCAGCAATCACATGGCACCTGCCACATACGCTGAGTGACAGATGCTGGAGCGTCATTCTCGCCTCTGAACCCCAGCTCCCTGGGTGCCGGGCTGCCCTGTGGCTTCTGTGCCTGACAATGCCTGTGAGCAGACAGACAGACAAACTGGACTGACTCATGAGCCAAGTAGCTACGTGGTTGCGTCTTTTTTTAGAACTGACTGCTGCTACTATTTCCTTCTGGGCAGCTTCTGCAACTTCTGGGGAGTGAGGAGGAAAATGGGCCCATTATAATGAAAGGTGGCTCCTCCTCTTCTCTCTTCCCCACTTTAGATGACAAGACTAGTCAACTGCCACCCAGGGCTTTCAGTGTCCCTGGCATTGGGCAGAATGCTTGATGTGCTTTGAAACTAAATGCTCAATTCACTTCGGAGGATTAACTTTAATCTTAAAACAAGCCAATGGGGTACTTTCTGTCATTACCCCATTTAGGAACAAGAGACGAGGCTCTGAGCAGTGAAGTGACTTGCACAAAGCCTGGAGATCAAGGAAGAGTGTGTACCTGGGTCGGGGGGAGTTCCTCACTGGGCACTGCTGCAGGGAGAGTGGACAGCGCCGGGAATGTGGTCCACAGCCACCTGCATCAGTCACCTGGCACTTGACAAAATGCACCTGGTTGGGCTGCTTTCACACACTCTGCTTCTGTGGGGCTGAGAAAAGCCTAGAAATCTACACGTTCATAAGCTCCCCAGATGAGTCTCCCCACTGAAGCACAACAACTACTGATCTGGGGCAACAGACTTGAACTTTCAGGAGTCACTTTTAAAATATATATATTTTTTATTGGTTTCAGAGAGGAAGGGATAGAGAGAGAAACATCAATGCTGAGAGAGAATCATTGATTGGCTGCCTCCTGCACCGCCCCCACTGGGGATCAAGCCCGAAACCTGAGCATGTGCCCTGACCAGAAATCGAACCATGACCTCCTGGTTCATAGGTCACTGCTCAACCACTGAGCCACACCGGCAGGGCTTGAGGAGTCACTTAATAAATTGTTTGAGACTCGCCGCCTTCATCTGAAGACTGTGAGGGACCCTTCTCTCCACCTCAGACCCTTAGCCACTCCCCCAGACCATGGTTGCTGACAGGTGAGTGCAGGGAGAAGTTGCTCCCCATGGACACGGCTCAGGTCCTTGAGCACTGGGTCTCCTTGGGGGCTGCTTGGTCAATCAGCAACTTCCTAATTAGAATCATCAGACAATAGCCTCCCTCCTTCCAGAAGGCCCATCTCCCTTTCCACAGCAAACAGGCCTCAGAGCTGGGGAATGAGGGTCAGGCGTGGGGAATGAGGGTCATGCGTGTTCACTTCCCAGGACTTTCACGTTCAGCTGAAACGTTTTGTTTCTCAGGTAAGCTCTGAGATCGAAAAACGTTTTCCAGCTTTAAGCCACGGACTCACTCCCACGCAATAAACTTTTATTGAGCCCCCTCTATGTGCCAAGCACTCTTATAGGTGCTGAATATATAGCAAAAAGCAAGGGCACCCTGCCTACCCTGCACTTCCAGTTAGTGTGTAGTAGGGAATGGGGAGGAGGAACAAGAAACATACAAACAAAGGGTAGAAGCATCTCGCCTCGCCATGGCAATGGTTGCTGGGTGACCATATAAACCAAGCCCCAACAGCTAACATGGACAGCCCGATCGAAGGTACTTGGGAGTGGCTGGGAGACTATTTCCCTGGGAAACTGTTGACTGGGAAAAGCCACTGAAGACGTGTAGCCTGGCTGAGTCATGAGTGAAAAGGAAGCAGGGCAGGCAGAAGGGCAGATAAGACGGGAAGAGCCCAGGTGACGTCTGCTCTCAATCCTGACCGGGGCAGAACCAGCA